GGGGGGGGGGGTTAATAAATGTAGGAAACGAGAAGTTATCCATGAATACATTGAAATTTTGGTGAAAGAAAATAGTAGTTCTTTTTTCCATTATAAAATGGCTGTTGTTGGGTAATCGATGCAGAATCTGCTCTTCTCAGGTTAATCTGATCACTCTCCCTTTTTGTTTTCTGTCGTTTCGTCCGTGGCATGTGTCTCATTTCTTTTGAAGCTGTTCGTGGGTAATCAAATCTGCACTTTGCACTTACAACAAAGACAGTTATATTCACTTGTTATTAACTGACAGCCAGACCCTTCTCTGCATATATATATTCATCTTCTTGTATCATATCTATGTTCTAGTTAATTTTGTGAGTCCTTAGGCAGTTTGTCAGGATAAATAATCAACATTTTGTAGTTAATTTTTTAATAGATATATAGCTTCATTTTTGAGGATATCATATTCTACACCCTAATTAAATTTATCGTTTCATCTTGCAGCTTATTATTGCATCAAAATTTGATTAAACAAGCAGAATGGAGAATTACCGCTCGCTGCCAGATGCTTTGGTAACAAAGATTCTAGTGAGGCTACCTGTGGAATCTCTTGCACGATTCAAATGTGTGCGTAAGAATTGGTACTGGCTTATTACAACTTCTTCTTTTGTTAGAGAACACCTCAATCACTTGGAAAAAAACCCAACCCGTCTTTTATTACACTTTCGCGACATTCCTTCACAATCAAGCACCTCTCTTCTGCTGCCCGAGAAAATATTGCCCGGTGTGATTTCCCTGCATGAAAAGCCTAGTTATTTACAGATACCTGCTCAATTGACTGAGATCATTGGTCCTGTCGATGGTATATATTTCTTGTACAAAAAGTTGAGTTCTGATAATCGTATGGCTCTGTGGAACCCAACTCTAAGAGAGTTTAGGCCACTTCCACCATATAACATCAAAATCAGCATGCCTCGTGGTCACTTTAGATATATATTTGGCTTTGGGTTTGATCCATTAAGTCAAGTTTACAAAGTGGTTTACGTTATGATTTTTTGTAATCTAGAAGAATGGAACAATGATCGTGTGTTTGCTGCCGTTTACTCTTTAGGCAAAGACTGTTGGAGAAATTTAGCATGCCGCTTTGACAATAGAGTTCCTTCATGCATGGAAAACTCCTTGTGCTCAACCTGTGTTAATGGAGTTTATTACTGGAGTACATTAAGTAGTGGTGCAATTGCTTTTCAACCACTCCTTCTAATTCGATATTTCAACATGCAAAATGAAGTGTTTGGTGAGATTCCAGGGCCTAAAATATCATGTGTCATTGATGGTTTAATTACTCTCTATAAAGAGTCCATTGCCCTGCTAGTGCGCAATGATACCGATGACTTTATTTTTGCATATCAAATTGATGTATGGCTAATGAGCAACGAAAGGTCGTGGACTAAAGTTCTGAATGTGGTACCTACAATACCTAACTCTTGCCCTATTGGTTTATGGGGTCATGATAAGATTATTTTATATTCAGAAGACGAAGCTCTTGTGATCTCTGACTCCAAAACCCATGAAATTACACGTCTACTTGATTCTAAAATATATGGTCGCAGATGGGCTTTAAGTTATAAGGAGAGTCTAGTTTCCATCAAAAGCAAAAATATACGCCACAAGCAAAGCAGTATCTTTGATCTCATTCAAGAATTTTTTAAAGATGAATGACGTTATTTGTAGTGATTTCCATATTGTTCTTTGCTAGGGGCAACGATGGAAGACTATTGCTATTAGAATTGCAAATTAAAGTATGTTATTTAGAGGTGCACTAAATTTAGTAGGACTTTGTATTCACTTGGTCCTTGATCAAGTATGAGATGACGTGTATTCAAGTTTGTTTTATATTTTCTATTGAAGTGAACATGGTGAATTTTTTGTTTTATCAGAAATCATTTCTTTTTATATTCCCTTCTGTCTATTTTAGTTGTCATATTTCTCTTATATATGGTTAAGAGACTACTTTCTCCGGTCCTCTTTAATTAATTTTTTTGGTTATTTTCACACATGTTAAGTAATTTATCTTGTCGCATTAATTAATAATCAAATTGATCATATTAACCTTAATTTATTTATTAAAAATATATCAAATACTCCTATATTCTTTATTGCAATGACAAATTTGAAAAAAAGAAGTAATTCTTTCTTGGTATCTAAAAAATCAATATTATTGTGGACCACAAAAAGGTCTAAAAATCAATTAAAGTGGATTGGAGTATTTACAATAAGAGCTTTTTGACTACTTTACCCTTATTATTTTTCACTTTTGGATTTATGTAATAAATATTTAACTTTCAAAAATAATTAATAATAAGGACGAAATAGAAAAAAATTTAATTATATCTTAATTTTCTAAAATAACAAGTATTATCAACCAGTTTTAAGATGTGTGCCTTAATCGTGTGTCTTACATTTCGTGACTGATTAATGGATGAAATTTGATTTGGCGCAAAGAATTGTGAGAAATTAGCACGGTGTGACCCTAAAAGTAATCGTCTTGGCATAAAGTCCTCGTTTTTTTTATGGTCTTAGCAAAATGTCTTTTTTTTAATTTGAATTTCATAGTTCTTTAATTTTAAAGCTTAAAATTATTGTTTGATGGTGAAAAATAAATTTAATGATCAATTTGTTGTTAAAATTGTTTGAATGTTGATAAATTTTCCTTAAACATTTAGTTCAAACACATATTTTGGTAATTTATTGTAAAAATCTCAGAACTCTATTGTTGGACCTTAGAAAGTGTTGAAGAATACAAAGTGGGTTTTTTTGATTTGGTGTTATTCGAATAAATTGGTGACTCGAGATTATTTGTGTTGGTATTTGTGTGATGACCCAAAAGGTCATCACTTGTTTTAGAAATAAATTTTGTATTTCGAGGCCTTAAAAAACCACTTTGCATCACCTCAATTTGCGTGCGCAATCCGGGCACGTAGCCGAAAAGTCATTATGTGAAAATCTATGAAAAATGATGAATTTTGCCTCTAAAATAAATTTAAGTTGACTTCGGTCAATATTTTGGGTAAACGGACCCAGACCCGTGATTTGACGGTCCCGGAGGATCCGTAGGAAAATATGGAACTTGGGCGTATGCCTGGAATCGAATTCCGAGGTCCCAAGCCCGAAAAATAAATTTTTTAAAGAAAATTATTTTCTAGAATATTTATAAGTTTTTGCAAATGAAATGTGTTTGAAATTTGATGGTATCGGGTCTGTATTCTAGTTTCGAAGCCCCAAACAGGTCTTATATATGATTTAAATTGAGTCTGTGAAGTTTGGTAAGAAACGGACTTGAAATGAAGCGATTCCAACCTTATTTGAGAAAAATTGGAAAATTTGATGTTCTTAGGTGAATTTATGATTTTGATGCTAAATTCTTAATTGTTGAGGTTATTTTGGTGATTTGAATGCACGAGCAAGCCTGTATGTTGTTTTTAGGTTGTTGTGCATGTTCGATTTGGAGCCCCGAGGACTCGGGTGAGTTTTGGATAAGCCACGGAGTGAAATTTTAACTTAGGAAATTGCAGGTTTTTCAGCTGGTTTGATCAGGTCTGCAGGCTTTGCAAATGCGAAGCCTGACTCGCAAATGCGAGAAAATCACCGCAAATGCGAAAGGGACCTGGTCTGCCATGGGGTCACAAATGCAAAGCAGTCATCGCAAAAGCGATGTCGCAAATGCGAAAGGGCCATCGCATTTGCGAAGTGGCCTGGATTTTCCCAGTGTCGCAAATGCAACAGTTTTATTGCAAAAGCGACTTTGCAAAAGCGAAAGTTGGTCGCAAATGCGAGAGTATCAGACTTCTGGGTTCGCAATTGTGAACCCTGGTCGCAATTGCTATATCTGCAACCTTTAAATTCATAACTTAGACGCACTTCAACCATTTTTTACACTCTTTCAAAACCAAAACACTCTTGGGCGATTTTTCAAAGACAATTTCTCTTCCAAATCGATTGTAAGTCGTTTCTAACTAGTTTTCTTCAATCTTTAACATCTTTCCACATGATTTCAACTCAAAATTAATGATTTCCATTAGGGAAATTGGGTGTTTTGAGTAGAACCTAGGTTTTTAAAATTTTGGGGATTTGGACCTCGATTTGAGGTCCGATTTTAAAACAAATCATATATTTGGGTTCATGGGGGAATAGGTAATCGGGTTTTGGTTCGAACCTCGGTTTTGACCATGTGGACCCGGGTGCAATTTTTGACTTTTTGAGAGAAACTTTAGAAAACATATCTTCATGCATTGGAATTGATTCATTTAGCATTTATTGATGTAATTAAGTAACTTGTGGCTAGATACGAGCGAATTAGTGGTGGAATCAAGAGGTAAAGCGATAGTTGAGACTTGAATTGTGTTCGTGGCATCTAGGTAAGTGTTTGGTCTAACCTTAGCTTGAGGGATTAGGAGTTGAGTCCTATTTGCTATGTATTATTTGTTGAGTACGACGTATAGGCATGGTGACGAGTATCTATACGTTGGTGTCAAGCATGCTTGTGAGTCTTAAATTGAAATCGTCGTGTTCTTAATAAGTACTACGAATGCCTAAGTTGTTGACTTTCTGTGTTGGGCAAGAATTATGAGTATTCTCGTGGAATTTGATTATGGTTGAGTGTTGGCGCTAGTTGACGTTTCTTTTTGAAGTTAAATGTTGGAACAAATTTGGTTATAGCTGACTCCCTTGTCGGGATGTATTTACTTATATAGTCGCTTCCCTTGCCGGGATAGTATTGTTTCCTTATTGTTCCGTTGCCGGGACTCTTTTTGTGATTGGTGTTGAATTATATTTGGATCAGGTTGCACGCCTCAAGTGTTATATTTGGATCGGGTTACACGCCGCAACAATATTATATTTGGATCGGGTTGCACGCCGCAACAATATTATATTTGGATCGGGTTGCACGCCGCAACAACATTATAATTGGATTGGGTTGCATGCCGCAACAACATTATAATTGGATCAGGTTGCACGACACAACAGTGATAGATGATATGGATCGGGTTGCACGCCGCAACAGTATTTTTATGATTTGGATCGGGTTGCGCGCCGCGACAATAAATGATAAAAATGGTTATTGACTTGTTACGGTTTTTCCTTATTCTTTCTACCGCAAATTTTAGATTGTTCTTTATGCTTTTCTCCTGAGTTACTGTTGGTAGATAATATTCCCCCGCAGCATACCCCCCTCCATCCTTATTTGTATATTCCTGTTTTATTTTTCGTTGTATATGATATAACTGCACAGATTTATTTGGTAGCCTGGTCCTAGACCCGTCACTACTTCGCCGGGGTTAGGCTAGGCACTTACCAACATATGGGGTTGGTTGTGTTGATACTACACTCTGTACTGTGTGCAGATCCCGGAGCAGCAGCATTCTGACCTTAGCTTGGGTGGCTGCTTTCAGTCCAGTCGGAGATTTCGAGGTAGTCCTGCAGGCGTCCGCATGCCCTGGCATCTCCCTCTATCCCTTCATCCTGTTTCATTTACATATTTCTGAAACAGTGTACTATTTATCTTTCAGACCTTGTTTGTAGTAATTATAGACTGTCTGCGAAGCATGACACCAGTTCTGGGTAGATTTTTACTTAAGACATTGTAATGGATATATATCAAATGGTTTATCGTTTCTTTCGCTTGCTTTAAATTTCCATTGTTTATAACTGTTGATTCACACTTGTTAAAGAATTAAAATGGGAAATAAGTAATTTGTGCAAATGGTCGGCTTGCCTAGCTTTTACTAGTAGGCGCCATCACGACTCCCGAGGGTGAGAAATCCGGGTCATGACAATTTGAAAGCTTTATTTCAAATTTGAGATCATTTGGAGCAAATTTAGGGAGGTTTATTCAAAATTGATGAACACTAGGTTAAAACTACCAAAAAAAGTATGCCAATCCGGTAGACTTCGAGTGAACAACATAACAGATAGGTAGATAAAATATAGCATCAACTCTATCCGGTAGAAAAATTCCTGAAAAACAAATGTATGACAATTCAGCAGATTTCAATAAACAACTAAACAAATAGGTAGAGTAATAATAGCATCAACTCTACCGGATTGTTAGAGAAATCGTGAAGAGTAAAAGTATGGCAATCAAGTAGACTTTGATGAATAATTTAATCCGATAGAGAATCTCCTGAAAAGCTTGTGCGGGTCCGGGGTCATTTTCTAAATAACACAAATTTTAGGGTGCCTATCATTTCACCTAGTATTTTTGTCTCTATTAAAATTTAAACATGAGACCTTATGACTTTCAACCCACTTCATTAACTACTAGGTCATATACTAGGGTGCCTACCATTTCTTATATCATATTCAATTTCTATTTGTAGCTCCTTCTTGCCGAGTTTCATAGTTCAATCCAAGAGATCAGAACTTATATAAATATCACTCCCAATCTGATGCAAGCATCAGGTTATTTCCACATAATTCTATGGTTTGTAATTTTTATAGTGAACTAGCCTTACGATACTCGCATTGTGCGTGTAACCCGTCTTAATAAATATTTTTTTAAATTACAAAAATACTAGATTAACTAATTACACTTGAGTTATAAAATAAGTTTAAGAAAAAAATGTGAGTTACTAAAATGATAATTGTTGACTTTATTTAGCAACTCAATAATAAAAAAACAATGACAATATAGAAGTCATCAATCATCTTAGTTGATTTTCAATTTAAGATTTATTCATTACTAAAATTTTACAAGTTTTCATGCTTATCTTTTACTTAGGTTATAAATAAAAATTCAAAAATGGTATATAATGATGAACATTGATCCCATTTAGCTAATTTATTATGAAAAAATCATGCACATAGAAATCTTCATA